AATTAGGGCCCAAAAGGACATGCGGACTGGGGGCAGGGACTTTTTTTTTAATTTATGGAGAAGTCACAGCGCTAGGCTGCTCTAAAGACGCAGGCTGCGCAGGCACTGGACTCCGACTGCAGCCCTCTGGTTGCCACTCCCCACCCTGGATTTGTCGCTCAACAGGGCAGTCAAGAGGGCCATTTAGCGCAGGGAGGAAGTTAGAGCTGGAAGAGCATTTGGGCCATGGCCCCTGCCCTACCAGGGTGGGGTGTCCCAGCAGGCAGCGTCCAGGTTGGGGGTGCCTGTCTGCCTGGGGAGTTGCCCTGAACCCCCTGGTGGCTCCTGGGTGTTGAATAAGGAGAGGACCCAGACCTCTTTTCTGAGACCAGAGCTTGGCCTTAGCTCACAAAGAAGCTAGAGGGTGGGAACAGTTTCAAAGTGACAGGCTCTGCGGGCCTCAGGCCCCTCAGGAGAAGTGACTGAGAGGAAAAGCATGAGCCAGCACCGGGCCCTGGAGCCTGCACCGCAGCTCACCTCCCTCCAGGTGGGGACTCCATGTGCCAGGCAATGAGTCCCACGCAGACAGGCTTTTCTAGAAAGCACTGTTGCTCCAAATCGGAGCTCAGCTCCAGTTCAGGCAAATGATTACATGGTTGGCTGAGAAGGAGCCCCTTGTTTGGGTGTTGAGGGCCTGTGACCACCCCCCCCCCAACCTTGTTTTTTCTCCCAGACAATGGCACCTACCAGGCCCGAGGGAGACAAACAGGATTGCGGCCCCTGGAGCCCAGTGTCTAAAGATGCTTAATAGGGGTTGGTTGAGTGGGGGTCACGGTGTCCTGAGGGAGCAAACTGCTCCCCACCCCACCCCCAATCCTAAAGAGAAACGAGGAAAACCCTGCCTCCCTTCCAAGCCTCTTGCCATTCCCTGCACAGGAGCCGCGCCTGCACACAGCTGGGGCCAGTGTCGGGTGGCTCCGGGAAGAGCAGGGAGGGTAACACGGCAGCCCCTGGCCGCACTGGGGCCCAGAGCACAGCTGAGTGAGGCCGAACCTGGCCAGGACCAGCCGGTGAGTGCCTAGATTTAGGGGCGGATTTCAGAAGGGTCCTTGTCAGTAAGAAGAGAAACAAAATGTAGACAGAGGGGGAAAATGGAAAGAAAGAAAAAAACACGAAAACAATACATGGGAAAAGGGAAAGTTTGTTTTGCATGGGTGAACTAAGCTGAAATGTATGCATGCTGTGTTTGGGTAGATGTGTATATCCTGACATCCTGGACATATATTTCAAATCAATATCGGATCCAGTGTGCAAATGTGCTGTGCTCTATGCTGTGTATCGAATATGTAATAAGTAAATTTGCCCAACCGTAATACTGGGTGTGCTTCAGCTTTCGCATGTACAACCTAGTGGTTCATAAGTAGATGCGTGAACAACCCCTGAGTTATGTAGGTTTACAATTTTACTTGTACAAGATCTATGGTCCAAAAGCTTGTGTGCACATTTTTATAAACCTCACACCCCCTGTGAAAAGGGCAAAAACTTGAGTGTTTGCGTACTTGAATTGGGGCTATAAAACATTAGCTGATTTGGAAGCTTCACTTGAAAACCCGCCTGTTGACTTAATATTGAAGTGAAATGTATACCGCAGCCTCAAACAACTGCATGTGACTTAAGTTGGAATTCTTTTACAACTTCCTTCTGAAATATGTATCTGGAAAATGAAGGAAATATACCCCGGGTTGTTCCAAGGGAGGTCATGAAATTTCGTGACATGTTTTGTCCCACCAAAAATCCTTGGCTGCGTATCTTACCTAAAGCTGCAGGGGCGAGAGTGCGTTGTGTGGTGCTTACTTCAGGGTAAGGATGGGCCCCAGATGGAGGAACCATGCTTGTGCATGAGCGTGTTCCCCATAGTGCGAATCTGACCAGGATGCAAATATGAGTGTAATGTGAAAGCCCTCAGGTAACTGCGGAGGTCACACAAAAGCACGGCTGGGGACAACGAAATTAGAAAAGTCCCCCAGTCTATGCCCCTAAGCACCCCAAGATATTTCTTCTGACCCAGGATCACATAGCCCAGACCCACTCTGGGAAAGGAGACGGGACAGCTGCTCCATGGGGGAGGACACTGAGGTCCCCAGAACCTCCACCCCTCATACAAAACCACCTCCAAAACGAATCACACTGGATCTGCACACAGAAACTCAAACCTCGGTGTCTCCACACCCTGCACATGGGGATTTTAATCGTAAAGTAACGCAATCTGCTGTGCAACATCCCTTCCAACATGTCCGAGACGAAAGGAAGGACTGAGAGGTCAGCGGCCCAAGCACATGTGTCTGGAATCTCTTCTTACCAACCCTCAGACATCAGGGACTCGGAAGGTGGTGGGGGCGGCTGACTCCTTGGGAGGGAGAATCCAGGAGGCCAAACGGGGTGGGCGGCAGGCCGGGCGGAAAGGAGCTGAGCAGGTAGAAGGTTATTATGGAATTGCTTCCATAAAACCTGTGGCTGTTGTAAAACTCTCTGCTTTCCAAAGACTTTATTTCCTCCTTTCTCTCTAACATCCCCCTTTTTTTTCTCTTTTTACAGCACTGTTCCTGGGAGGGGGCGGCCAAGGAACGCAAGGGATGGAAGACAGTGAGGCTCCCAGCGAGCGGCTGGGCTGGGCAGGTTTGCAAGAGGCCCAGCGAGAAGCAAGGTAAGGCAGCAGGAACTCCAGACTCCCTTCACCCAGACGCGAGGGCGAGAAAATATCAAGAGACAGTGCTGTGGGCCTTGGCTCAGCAGGACAGTGGGGTAAAGGCTGCATTGCCCCTGGGTTGGGAGTGGGTCTCCCAAGGGGCCCCTCCACCCTAGCAGAGGCCCCTTGTTCAAAGACCCCCTCCTTTACCCTCCAAGCCAGCCTGGCGCCGGAGCCCCATCCGGTTGGGCCCCTTTCCACATTTCCTCTGCCTCGAGCAGGGGTGGGGGGTGGGGGGTGGAATTTGGGAACAAAAGTTAGCTTATGCTTTGGACCATCCCACGCCTTCCGCCAGCACTTGTAGTTATTCCTTTCCTGGGCAGAGAGCCAGGAGCCCGGAGAGGGCTGGGGTCAAAGAGGGTATCACAGCTTTGCCCCTTCCCCACCCCCTTCTCCATCTCCTGTCACTCCATCCGTCTGAATGAGCTGCCCAACAGCCTGGGCTCCCCAGTAGCCTACAAGTCAGGCCCCTTTCCCGGGGGTTGGCTCTCAGCACCTACATAAACCTGCAGCCCAGACCCAGGGTCTGTGAGGATGCCTTGGCCTCTAGGCGGGGAAGCAGCCAACTGTGGGATTGGGAAAAGGACTTAAACAAAACCCACCTCTGCCCCACTAGGGGGCCTACGAAGGACCCTGGAGGCCTAGAGGCTGAAACTGCAAGGGATCCTGATGTTTTTTTTCCTTTTGGAAAGGACCATACTGAGCCCTCTTCAAGGACCGAAAGCTTCCTGTTAAGGTGGAGCCCTCTGCCCCAAAGGGTTACAAAGACCTCAAGGGCTCCCTGCGTCTCTTGTAATCAAGCACTTGCCAAGTTGGGGAGACTTTCTTTGGAAAGTCTGGGTGCAGAAAGGAGCCCCAGACTCCAAGGAAGGCCGCTCGAAGCCCCAACTGTCACCCTTGGGCTCTGCAGAGCAGCCCAGCAAGGTGCCTTTCGGTGCCCTTCTCTCCCGACACGCGGTAAAAACACACACAAGTGGGGAGACCCCTGAGAACTTCCCAGGGCTCCTCCCTGGCGAACACACTGGCTGCTGCTGGGCGAGGGGCCTCAGCCCTCTGCACCGGTCTGCACCAGTCCGGACTCTGCTCCACGCCCCACTCCTCCAGCTAAGCGAGGAGCAGTAACTGCCGTGAGTCGGGTGGTTTAATGTCGTTGTGTTCAGAAATCCAGGCCCAACAACATGAAACTACCTAATTCACTCAGCAGTTCCAGTTCATGCTCTGGGCCACAGGCTCCCCGGGGGTAGGCCCCTGCAGCCATTTTCTGGGCCAAAATGGCTAGCCGGCTAACTGCATTCATTTCCCTCTATCTCTTCCCCAGCTAGAACCCAGTTGCCAGTAAACACATCCAAAGAACTGGAGGCAAGACTTTAGGCAGAACCGTTTTTGGAGGTGATCTTGGCAGCTCAGATTCCAGGAACTTCTGCTCCCTTTCAGGAGGCCTGGCCGGAGGGCCCGGAGGCCCAGCCCCAGGGCTGGACAGGGCCTCATGGGTGGACATACCTGCGTGGTCATTATTGCCTCTCAGCCTCTGTTTATGCAGCTGGAGGTCTTCACAGATCAAAAGATTTCTCAACTTCAAACTTAACAAGGTGCAGCTATGTTCACCATCTTGCTAGTGCTTCTATTCCAGGGTCACCCAGGGTAGATCAGATTGGAGAGGCCACGTCTTCAAGCCCTACCTCAACCCCCAGCTTTAAGACGGGGATCTAGACAGGAGAGTGGACAGGCGTCCTGAGGAAATGACGGTGGGAGAGACAGAGGGAAGAACAGAGTGTGAGGAAGTGCCAGGGCGACCAGCGCACAGACCGAAGAAGAACACGACTGCGAGGGAAAGCGGGCTGCAGGGAGCGGTGGCTGTGAAGTCACCCAGCCGGGAACGTCCGAGGGTCCTGGCCCCGCAGAGGCGGAGCTGTCCCAGGTAAGACCATCTATTCCGAATTCGCCAATGAGACCGGCAGGCTGAGGACTCAGATGGGAACGCAGAGAACAACTTCGCTTCCGTCTTCCTGACCTTCCGCCTGGGCCCTCCTCTTCCAGGCCCCACCGAAGCCCTCTGCTGCCACCTGCACGCCCCCAGACGCCCGCAGCCGCGCAGGTGCGCACGCACAGACACCCCGCGCGCGCGGCCGGCGGGCCGGGGCGGCGCACTTACCTGCAGGCCGTCGCGGCGCCGGGTGCAGGCGGCCGTCGGAAGGCGGACGGCGCGGGCGTCCGCGTCCTGTCGGGCCCAGCTCCCTCCCGCCCTCGCCCCGGAGGCGAGTGTCCGAGTGGCCACGTGTCCGGCGGGGAAGTCCTAGGGAGCGGAGAAGTCCGCCTGGCCGCCCGCTCCCCCTCCCGGGTATAAATCTTGGGGACCGGAAATACAATAAAACTTCACCGTGTTGATGAACTTCAAACGGTTTACATCCCCTCGCGTCCTGAAAAGAAAGACGGCCGGGGGGCGGGTTAAAAGGCAGGGGAAACAAATTTACGAGCCGCAAAAGCCCCCGCCTTGGCCCCCCCTTTTTTTTCTTTTTTCCTCTTTTGGCCTCAGCAGACCGTCTGCGCGGAGAGAAGCAGCCCCGGCCCCCGGCCCCCGGCCCCCGGCCCCCGGGCTCTGCTCCGGGCGTCCCCGCTGCCGGGCGGGCCCTTCTCTCGGAGGAGGAGCCGCCGCGCTGCCCTGGCCGGCGCGGGGACCCGGGCGGCCACGCGGCCGGGACTGGACGCCACCGCGCGAACGACAGTCCCCGCGCCCCGCGCGCATCGCTGGCTCGGCTCACCGGCGCAGACGACACTCCCCGTCTTCGCCAAAGCAGTTAGGCGCCCGGCATTTCTAAGGCTAAAACCCCGGCTCTGCCAGCCACGTCCTGGACCTCCATGCTCTGCCTCTGTCCGCTGAAAGCGGGTTTTGTTGTTTTCTTTTTCTCTTTCCCTCTCCAGCAGCCAGACCTTTGCCCGGCCCCGCCCGTTTACTGCCAGGTACTGGAGAGACGCGGAGAGGGGGTCAGAAGGCCGGAGCCGGCAGGGGCTTCCAGAGGAGAAACCGAGGGGCTGTCTTCGGGGAAGTGCAAGTGACGGCGGGCGCTGAGGAGGGTCCCAATCAGCCTCTGCCGAGCTCTGCCGCCGTCTCCTCTCCGGCTCCTAAAAAGCCTCAAGATCAAACGGAAACAGCCACTACCTGGACCTTTACGGCCCTCTCCGTACCAGTTCCTTCCCGCTCTGGACCGCTGGGTTCTTATACAACTTGGTGGACTCCGCATTTGGAATCGCCATTAGGCCTTCGTGAACCAAAACTAGGAAAAACCCGCCTGCGCCTTGGGCTCCAGCTGACTGGGAGCGAAGTTACTGATTTTCTGCTCACTTTGTCTGCTGGAGGGGCCTGGTTAGATGCGCTCTGGGTGGGGGAGCAAAGGAATTGGGGGGTCACACCTCACTCAGTCATTCACCAACAAAACACCAAAGGGCCAGGTCTTAGAGGCGCTGGAGGCCAAGAGGAGCTCAGGCCCTGCCCCGCGTGGGTATAACACTGGGGCCCAGCTGCAGACTGGGGTGGGGGCAGTTTGGTGCCCTGAGGGCACCTTCCTTCCACAGACACACAGGTGCGGCCCTCCATGCCCCCTCCTTCCCAGAAATGGTGCCAAAGCGCGGCTGGGGATTTCTTTTTAAATGGGTAAAAGTGGAATAGGCAGGGGAAATACTAGGCTGTGGGCTACAGTTCCTGAATCTTCTGAAAGGCTGACTCTGATGCAGGCGGTCTCACTCTGCTGCAGGTGGTGAGGGTGCCCCCTGGCCCCTTCCTTGAACAAAGAAAGAGGAAGAGGGGGGACTCCTTAACAGCCGGGAGAACAAGAAGTAGCTTATTTCCATCCTAACGTTCTTATGCCAGGATATGCATGGAGAGGCCCCTCCAGCTCCCCTCCTCACTACTTGCCCGAACTCCCCCATTTCGCACTGTATCGTGCTACAATGTTATTAAAGATACTGTGATGGCAGCACCGGCAGTCACCCTCCGCTCAGAGTTCACCTCTGGGAGCTGTCAGTGATGGGGGGGGGGCACAGAACTGAGAGGCCAGCAGTCTCCACACCATTCATGACTGCTATTACCCAGGCCCCACCCCCAGGGCTGCAGTGGGGGCAGCTCAGCAACTGGCTCCTTGAACTAGGATTCTGGCTCCCTGGGCCCAGGAAAGGGGGTTGAACTATTTTAGTCTTAGACTCGAGAAAGTCTGAATAGGCCACGGCCTTAGAATGACGTACCTGTACACACACAAGTTTTGCGTGCACCTTTCAGGGACTTGGCCGCTTTCTCCTAGCCCCTGTTCCCAGACCCCAGGCCATGGACCCCAGTTTTCAAAAGAAAACTCTCTGCAAGGGGCCGAACAGCAACACCTCAAACCCATCCCCAGAGACCTCAGCCAGCTTCCTCCTTCCCAGGTCGCCTGGTCCCCCAAAGGAGTCAACTTTCAAATGGTCAGCACAGACACCCACCAACAGGGGCGCTAGTGCCAACGAGCACCGTCCGGCGTGTCACTCACACACTAGTCCAGCTGATGGCCACTCGGTGAGTAAAGACCACTCAGGCGATGTTTCTTTTCACCCTTGAAAGTTTTCTGAAGACTTTCCAAAAGCATATCGGTCTCCACATTACGCAGAGAGTTGAAAACGTGGATAACTATGATGTCAGATTCAGGGGCCACTTTCCCCTACTGCCTTTCCTTGGCGAAGATGAGCAGAGTTTTAGCATAACTGGAGGGGGCTGGACAATTTGGATAGCGGGAGAAGGCAGTATGAACACGGGGTCCTGGGAGAAACGGAAATTATCACTCCTTTTCATTTAGGAAGAGACATAAGAATAAATATTTCTAGGCCTTCCTGGTCCCTCTCAGGGCTCGTTGGCAAGGGCGGAGCGGGGAGGGGTGTCTCAGAGAAGTCAGAGGTGCAGGCAGCCACGTCCCTGAGACCTGGGCTGGATTCCCCACCCGACTCCACCCCACCCGCGCCCCCATTTCTGGCCACGGCTTGGGGCTCCAGCTCTGTGGTCGCTGGCGGGTGAGGCTGTGGCCGCGGCTGACCTCTAGGCGGCGTCTTGGTGTTGAGTCTGCGCTGAACGAGAAAGATCTTCGCGCAGCTCCGGGTCCCACGCAGGGGTGAAGGGGCCGGTTCCTGCAGAGGTTCCTGCAGACGCACTGGGTTTGGCCTGGGGCTGGCCGCCGGCGCGTCGCCTTTGGCGCCCTCTGCCAAGCGAAAGAAACACAATTAAATGAGTGAGGGCTGGGAAAGGAGTCGACAGCTACTCATGCTCCATCCGCTCCGCATCCCCTACCCCCATCCCGACTCCAAGGAGCCTTCCACAGCCCAAATCTCCTTTGATCTCCGCGGTAGCCAGCTCAAGGGCAGCGACAGAATGCTCAACCTCCACTCCTCACATGCAAAAGAAGACACTGAGGCCCGAGGAAGTGAAGCGGTTAGCCAGAATGAGAGCGACTATTAAAAACGGTGAAGCAGGACTGGGGGATGTATCCTCGACTCGAGCAGAATATTCTTACCCCCAAATTATGACGATCTTAGCAACGTCTTTCTTGTAACCAAAATTCACTTCCAGAAAGGCAACCTTTGTGGATTGTCTATGTTGGAAGTTTAGGGGTTTCTGGGTCTAGGATTTGGAGAGCACATAAGGGAATTGGAGGAGCTCAGCTAGGACTGGGATCCAACACAAGTCTGGCCCGCTCCCTTCCAGGACAAAGCTGGCTCACGGTGTATGAACTTCCTAGCTGTGTGTGACTGTGGGCAAGTGCCTCAGGCCCTCAAAGGCCTAATGAAAACAGGCCTATAAGATTGGATGTTGTGAGGTTTGAATACTTTATAAAAGAGGCTCTGATGACTAAGAGAAGGAGTCAACTCTATGACTGTCCCATAAACCAGAAAGAGAAGGTCATTTAGAGCAGGCAGCTCCCTTGGCGCCAATGGAGCCTATGGGTTACAGGGTAGGGTGAGGAAAAAGAAACCTTATTCTGTACCAAGCCCCCCCGCCCCTCCCCCCACCTGAGACTGCACTCAGAGACATCCAGGATCTGAGAAACATGGTGTAGGAGAAACTGGGTTCCCTCTTTTCCTTCCCCTAAGGCAGAGATACTTTTATATTTCACAGCTCTCTTCCAGAAGTTTCTCCAAAGTTATTCTCAGGACATTGGTCCCTGACAACACCCTGCAGGGAAGCAAGGGAAGAAAAAGGCTACAAGACCACTGGGGCCTGGGGTGGCAGAGGCGCTTGCCAGCACGGTAGACTAGGGTGCAGTGCCTGCCCAGGCCTGGGGCTCAGGAGACGTGCCTTTCCCAGCCAGGCGGGGGGCCCTGCCAGGTGCCTAATTAGGAGGGTGCCCATCTGGAGCACCTGCGCCCTGCATAGCCTCGGGCACGCTACTCCCGGGGCTGAGTCATAAAAGACTCTGGAGGCAGGATGAAATCAGGCTCATGAGTGTCAGCATTCCTGTGTATGAGAATGTGTGTGATTGCCCAACGGATTCACAAAAGTGGAGGGGGGCGGGCCGGAATGGAGCAACATCAGGCGAATTCAACTGCAAACATACTGTCAGCCTCATTATCCGCCTATTTCAAGGGAAAGCATTTGGGGCTTGGAATTAGCCAGTTAATTGCATCCCTTCTTTGTTTACTTTAGGGCAGGAGAAATTATCTGTGTTCTATTAAAACATTCCATATTTCAAAAACTTGGAGCTTTTCATTGTCAATTTTATTTCCACCCCTGTTATACCTCTTGAGCATTCAGATCTGCCAGTGTCACACCAACATTCACACACACACACACACACACACACACTGAGGCTTCTGCGTCTGCAAATTCTGGATATCACAACTCTTAGGACCCTTGTAAAGATTAACTAGTGGGCAATGTGTCTGGGGTTTAGCACAATGCCAGGTGAACTGGGAGCATTTAGTAAGTAGTAACTGTTAATAACAAGGAAGAGGAGGGGGGAAGAGGTGGAGGAGGAGGCAAAGGAGGAGGAGGAAGAAGCTTGCTTTGTTCTCAGAGAACCAGACTGTGTTGGAGGGTGTGCCTCTCCGCCTGGATATGTATAATGAATTCTTTGACTTAGAGAGCAACGTCCATATGAGTGAGGCTACTTGAACCCCTTGGCCTGTAACTCCCTCTTCTATGAGGAACACAGAATTGGAGCAATTATCTGGCTCATTTCTCAAACTCCCTTTAGCTTGAAGTATCTGGATCTGGTGCGGAAAAGGTCTGGGAAGCAGTGACATATTCTCTTCACAATTCTCAGTGAGCCTTTCCCTTTGCCAGAGCAGCAAGATTCTGCCTTAGAGAAAGAGTAAGAAAGAAGTAGGGGGCCAAGGAAGCTGGAATGAAAACAACATCTGAGGTCTCTCTCATTCATTTCCTGGCTAGCCAGGAGGCCTTGGAGGTCTCCATGCATCAGCCTCAGGGACTCCACAAACAAGTTTCTGACCTTTGCCTAGTGGAAACTTTCATTCCACAGTCAGTGAACTTTTCCTGAGTACCTACTGTGTGCCCAGCCCTGGGCTAAGCTCCAGGGCTCCAGGGGGAGCTGCACCCCACTAGTTGTCAGGGTGCTGACCTGCAGCCAGTTAGAGGTCTCTGCTCCCGGAAAGGAGTCCAGGGACCCTGGGAGGGGGAGAACCCTGCTGGGCAAGAACTTTTAGCCAGTGGTGGCATTGCCTTTTCAGGGCCAAAAGTCCTGGTGCACAGGGTCTGGGAGCACCCCTCCCTTCCACTGTCTGTCAGAAAGAGGCCAACTCCATGGTGGGGGGGAGGGGCAACCAACTGACTAGAGGCTTCTGACCCCCAGTCGGAAGTTCCTGAGAACACCAATTAGCTTTCTTTAATTAGTAAAGTAAGGAACAAATAGGCCTATATTTCTTCTGCTCTGATTAAAAGCATTTAGGTCAGGCGTTCACAGCCAGAATTATTCAGTTTAAGTTGTCCCAAGCAGAAAATTGTGGGGCTTTTTTCTTTTTATTATCAGGCAGGGTTCTGAGTACTATAAGCCAACCGTTGTCTTCTTGTTACAGCCCAGAACTGCTGGGCTGGTAGGTGGTGGTCCTGCCCGCTCACAGAGGGGCAGACAGAAATGGGTTGGGATCTTTCCTACCCTGGGCCACATTTGCTGGAGATGTGTAGGCAGTTGAGGGCCAGCCGGGAAGGGTTCGGTTTGGAGTGTGTGTGTGTGTGTGTGTGTGTGTGTGTGTGTGTAGGGGGAGGGTACAATAAGCAGATAATTTTCAGTTCCCTTAATTTGTCTGAATATAGTCCTAAAACGAGGAAGTTTGTTCATGTCACAGACCCCACAGAAACCCCAATTTTCTTCTGGAAGATCTGGCTTGGTCAATTCACAGGGCTGTGGGGAGCAGGCCAGCTTTCCCCACGGCCCTGGCTGGGAAGGAAGAGCTGTATCTAAATAAGCTGCAACACGGTGAGGCCGGGTGAAAGTAGGAGGTCGCTAACCCACCCCCCACTCCACCCCTTCACCCTGGCGTGTTAGGGGCTACCTGTCATTTGGCTCTTAGGATCAAGTTACAAAAACATTTAGGCACAAATCCTTCCCCTTTCAGCCCAGAGTTTGGTATCCTGCAGCCCCTAACCTTGGCTAAGCCCTTCGTACACGAAGATTTGAAGTCTCTGAGGAAATTGAATAGGTAGATTAACAAGAAACACAAAAGAACATTCTACTGCCTGGTCTCCACTTGTCTGGCTCACAGACAGAATTATCTACGGGGTTGTCGCTGAAGAGCCTTTTCTTCCCAGGAACTCCAGTGCGGGTTTTTACTCCCCGGGAGGCTGTCCAAGCTCAGCCCCCCTACCCCCCCAGCAGCTGGTCCCATCCCTGGCCAGTCCAAAATCAGCTTTCCCCAGCAGACTTCTTTCCACTCGCTCGAGCCCCCTGGTCCTGGGGAGGGAGGAAAAACTGACCTTCACTGGGAGGCCAGATCCCGCTAGTAGTGGTGTGGGCAGGAGTACTGTGACATAGCTGTTTTTAAAGGTCAAGGTTGACCTAGTGAAAACTGAGATGTCAGCCATGGGCCGGGGGAGGAGTGAAGACCTACATTCATGGACCATATCTGGTCTCTCTGCATTTTCCAGGCACCAGCTTCTTTGATCAAACAGGAGTTCTTAACCTGGGGTTCTCGGGGTCGGAAACCCTCCGAAATTGTGGGATTTGGAGAGTACTACATAAATGCATTTTTCCTCTGGGGAGATAGCAATCAATACCTTTCTTCAGATTTAAAGTATCTGTGAGTGACCCCCAAAATGTTAAGAACCTTTCTTTCACCCACCATTCACGTACAGATATCACAAATGTGACTGCAGAGGGAGGCGATGAAATAGACTTGGGTATCCCGCAAGATAAGTTCAAAGAGAACTAACAATTGTGTACGGCACAAAGTCGGATGGGTGCTGTCACCCAGCCTTCCCAGCAACAATGGGCACCTGCTCACGGGTGCTGAGGACTCCAGGACTGAGCCGAGGCGGCCCCAGGTGTCCTACCTGTGCACCCTTGTCCACACAGAGGGGAGCGCGGGGTCTCTGGGTCTCTAATCCACGTGATGGGGAGTCTTCTCCTCGGGGACCTGGATCACCCCTGCCACTGGCCAGTTTGTACTGCGCAGGTCCACACCGAAAGAGAACCCCAAGTTTTAGGGTTCTTTCTTCCCTGCAGATGCCCTTACTCTTGGGGTTTGGAGTAGGGGTATATTCCCCCGGGTCTCTAGCTCCCTCCGCGCTAGCCAACCCTGCAGCACCACTTCTGAGACCCGGAGCCAGCCCGCCAGCCGAGGCCTCTCGCCGTGGCCTTAGTTGAAGTTCTCCTGGTCTGGGTCGGGCCCCGAAAAGGGCGCAAGAGACAGACGGCAGGTAAACAGAAGCAGACACAGAGAAAGAGCTCCTTGACTGCGGCCAGAGGGAAGAAGGAGAATGACAAAGAGCGAAGTCAAACAGCCCGACGGGAGGCGGGAGCTGGAGCAGCCGGAACCCGCGTGCTGAGAAGGAAGGGCCCACAGGGGCCGCCGACGCGGCCAGGCGCGTCCGCGCTTCTCGTCTTTACGGGGAGGTTAATGGCCGCGTCAGCGCCCCCTCGTTCTACTAAACCTCCCATTTACAGCTCCTCGCTCTCCTTAAGGCTCTCTGATTAATTAGCCGGGATGAGAGGAGGGATGTGCCCCTCCGCCGGGGCCTGTCTGGATTTCGCTAGGTCGTTAATTGTGGTAAGGCAGGGCGCTCCGGGAGGAGAATCCAGAGCCGGGCAATGGGAGCCACTGGCGCCAGCGGCGGCGGCGGGGGCCCGGGGACTAGGACCCCCTCTCCCTCGCAGCCAGACGTCGGCAAGAAGCGGCCCCCTCGGAAAGCGCGCCCCGCCCAGTCTCTCGGGTCCCTGCGCGCCCCGGAGGGCCCGCTCGGGGCCAGGCGCTGGGTCAGGGGGGCTCCCTGCGCTGGTGGCTGGACAGAGCGCCCCAGCGCAGCCCCCTCCCCCTCCTTCGCTGCACGGCAGAGCTTTCGCGCGCAGGCCCTTGGCATTGCGGTGTGGGAGGGGACACCCGCGTTAACTGCGCTCTCCCTTCGCCTCGGAATTGCCGCTGCCCGACGCTTCCGCCGGACTTGGAAACCTCCTTTCTAATCCCTCTGCCCGGCTCCCGCCTCCGAAGGGCCCGAGCTTGCAGCTAGGCTCCCCCAGGCTTCCAGGGTCCACCCCTGCGGCTGGGCCGGAGGCGGAGGGGACTGGAGGCCTGCAGAGTCCCGAGTTGCCCAGACCCTCCCCGGGAAACAGACTCCGAGGCTCCTGCGGCTCAACCGCCTCCCTGCTAAGCGACCTTCCTGTCCTCCCGTCGCAGCGGGGAGGCAGTTTCGGAGCGGGTCGGCGGCAGCCACAGAGATCTTCACTCTGCAACCAGCCCGGAGGCGAAGGTGCGGACCTCCAGCAGTGCATTTCTAGGTGCGTGCCGTCGGGGACTGCCGCGCTGGCCCAGCGCAAGGGAACCCTACGCAGGACTCAGGGACGGTCTGCACTTTGCAAAGTGCGGCCAGAGTTGGGGACCGGACCGAAGAACGCAGAGGTCTCAGATCTCTCACCACCCCAGCCCCCACGCGACCTGGGCCCACGGCAGTGACTCGGGCTCTCCCCGGAGCAGGGATGGGAGCTGCAAAGCAGAGACGTCTCAGCCCCCAGAAGTAGCCTCGCTCCCTGTGGCCGACCCAGTTCAGGAGACGGGCCGGGGGCCAAGGAGGAACGGCCTGAAGAAGAGGTAAGAAATCTACCAAGTGGGAATGTGGGATCCTCTTTCTTTTATTGTGTTAAAGGATGCAGGCTCCAGAGGCTGACCTCTCTCTATGAACGAGTTGGGGCATTCGGATCAGTCCTGGCAGTCTGAGCCACCGCGCTGGTCTCTACCACAGTTTAAGGAGGAACTTCTCTGGACGGTGGAGGCTCTGGAGTTCATGGGTATCTTTCTCATTGCTATTGGTTAGTATCCAGTTTATTCCGGACCAAGCTCTCACCTCCACTCCAGCTGAGATTCACCCTTGAAAACTAGCCCTGGGGTACTTCAAAAGGGGGGGCTCAGACTGGGGACACAGCCAGCCCAAGATGGGCGATGGGGTGCTGGGGGGGGGCACTTTGGTCTTAATGATCCCTGCAAGGTACAGGCTGTTTGTCATTCCCGTACCTGGAGCTGAGAAGAGAGAGGAAGGGGACAGGGTGAGGGTGGGAAGCGGGTGAGTGAGGTGCACACTTGGGCCTCTTGCTGAGGAAAAGTCTCGAGTTGTGACCGACTCTCAGGCCCCGGTATCTTCGCCCTTTGCCTTCCAGACAGTGGGGCGGTGGGTAGGGACACTTCCACTGCGGGGTTCGCAGACGGAGCTCTTGCAGAAGGGCAAAGAGTGGAGACCTACATGAACACTCCTGTTTGGGCTCAGCCTTTTCCAGGCACAAACTCCTCCAATCAATCCAAACAGAAGGTCTTAACGATGTTCAAGAGGCCTGGAATCCTCTGAAATCGTGGGGTTTGGTGGCTCTGTAAAAAGCCCTGGTCACCTTTCTGAGATGCTCTGGAAGAGGAAGGAAGCAAGGGGAGCCGTGGGGAAAGGAGGAGAGAGACCCCAAACCCTACCATCTAGCTCCCTAGACCCTGAGCTCTGGACCCCAGATCTGAACCTCAAGCCGACCCCATCCGCAGTGGCCACACAGGAGAGTGGGAAGTTGCAATCAGGGAGAGTTTCTCCGCTGCTTTCAGCGGGGCTTTTGGTGTCTACGCAGATTGCTGATCTGGATGTTTTCAGGGTTGGCTTTTCTTTCCGCCATCCCTGCTTTTCGGGCCAGAACAGATAGGCTCCGAGGCCTGTGGGGCATCCAGACAGGACAGGGGCCCGGCCCTCCAGTTGCCTGATCCCCTGTGGAGCCGGGGTCAGGGCCAAGCCTGCCCTCACCCAAGGCTCAGTGGGCAGGGCTTGCCCCAAAGCCTTCAGCCTGGGGATTTGCTGCTCTATGAGCCCAGGCCTGCCGGCCAGACCGCAGACTCCCCTCACACCTAGCCACCTGAACAAGCACAGGAACTGTTTCTTCTTCCGAGTTTGAAAAGTGCCAAGCCCCACATTCTTAGCTCCTTTTGGAGAAGATGATTCCACTGGGTCTTGGGGTGAGGGAGGATTGTGGAATCTGATGGCTTCTCGGCCTTGCCCTGCCCTTCAAGCCTGTATGTTTCCACATTTAACATTTTGGGGATACGGGAAATACACTGTGCACGGTTCTACTTTGGAAGGAGGGGTGTGTAGAGGTGAAAACACGAGTGTCCCACCTGAGCACAACTGGGAGCACATGATTTCGTGAATCCTTCCCATGTTTGTGCAAATCCTCAATATTTACAGACTATGTATTCTGAGAGGTACAGCTGCCCTGGTGCAGGACTCCTCACTGACTCTTGGGGGGTTACTAATGTCTAAGAGACCCCGCGATACCCACCACACAGTCCCATTCTGCCTGTTTCTCTGCATACGCCTTTCCAAAGGTGATTCATTTTTATATTGACCCCGTCCATACAGACTGAGATCCTTTCCCTACTTTTGCCCCTCCCACGAACAACACGACCCTCTACCAAAAAAAAAAAAGCACACACACCATTTTTGTGAGTGGGAGTTTCAAGCAAGATGGCGGTGCGGGCAGCCTTCAGGCGCAGACCCGCTTCCCCAGGCGCGAGGCCCCCGAGCCCCAGCACAGGCCAGAAGGCGAGGAAGCCAGGTCCCCGCGCCTCCGTGAAAGGTGGTTGAAAGCAAGGGACTCCCCCCAAGCATCCTCCCCCACCCCTTCCGGGAGGGGGGGCGGTTTGCTAGAGAGACGGCTGATTCTGCATCTTGGGGGCCTGGGGGCTCCCTTCTGGATCCAGAGTTCCAGACCGATTTCTAATTTCCACGGAGAAAGAAGAACTGTTAACCCTTTCTAAGCGACCCCCACCCACGAGGCTGCTCAGGGCAACCGACCTCCGTCTCTCTCTCCGGCTACATTTGCTCGGAATCCGGGGCAGTGAGTGGAGACGGGGCTGAGCGGGCCCGAGGCTGCAGGAGCGTTCGGCGCCCGGCTCTGGGGAGCCCTGGGTGTGGGGGAGACGGGGAGGCGACCCTCTGCCGCCTCGCATACCCTTGCTTGGGGAGGAAAAGTCGGGTAAGGAGCCAGCGGGTAGGGCAGGCCTTGGCTTTGCCGGGGCGCCCCAGGCCCCACCGCGGAGCTCAAGGATCGGCGCGTCTGGATCGGCCTGTCTGGAGCTCAAGGTTAACTGGTGGCCCCGGGTACCGCCCGCCCGCCGCCCGCCGCCCGCCGCCGCCAGTCCTCAAAGCGCGGCCAGGGATTGCCCGGTCCCAGCGGGGTCTTTCACGCGGCGGTCTGATCTACGAGATCGCGGTCCCCAGCGGCGAGGGAAAGGGAGGGGAGTGTCTCACCTACCTCTCCAAACCGCGCGGTCCTCCGCGGGTCTTCACAGGCTGCGGGGACTCGGGGCTTTAGGCGCGACAGAGCCTAGGGACCGAGGAGATGGCGCTGGGGGCTAGGGGCTACGTGGCCCCAGGTCGCCGCTCCCAGCCCCAACCCCTGTGAGGCCTCCGGGCGCCGTATCTGCGTCTGGGGCAGCAGCGCAGACGGCACTGGGGGCGCGAAAGGGTTCCTGTGTCCTCCGTCCCCCTGGCGCCAGTGAAGGGGAGGTGTGTGTGGGGGTGGGGGTCGAGGACAGGGCCCCAGCGGCCGATTGGCGCCAGCGCCACCTTCCTCCACGTCTCGGGCGGGGCTTCGGCGAACCTCACCTGCCCCCTCCTCTGGGTGTCGTCGGATCATCCTGTGGCGGCTCCTGTAATGGGCCTTCGGCGCTTCTGAAAGGCCCCGGAGGAAAGGCGCGGAGATAGCCAGCAGAGTGTGTGTGTGTGTGTGTGTGTGTGTGTGTGTGTGTGTGTGCGTGTGTGTGTGTGTGTGCGTGTGTGTGTGTGTGTGTGTGTGTGTGTGAGAGAGAGAGAGAGAGAGAGAGAGAGAGAGAGAGAGAGAGAGAAGAGAGGAGACAAGACAGAAGCTGATCTCAGAAAAGCTTCCCAGACACCCGTCTAGTGCGCACACAGACAAAAGAAGTGGGAGAAAACGCAGAGTCTGGGAGACAGAAAGGAGCCCTAGCTTCTGAAGCCGGCGACAAGTTGTCCTTGGGAGTTGGAAATGTGAGAGGGAGGGGCGAGGCCAGAGCGGTCTGAGAAGGGAGGGGGCGCATAGACCCTGCACTGGAGGTGACGGGTCCCTCAGTACCAGGACGAGGACCCTCCTCCGTCTTGGGGCCCACCCTCGCCGCCAAGTCCCGCGCCCTGTTGCAAACCATCTCCTGTTTGACGCGGCAACCGGGTGGCCCCCCCGCCCCCCCCCCCCCGCCTTCCTGCTGCTGCTGCTCGCTGCCCCCCCTGCCTGGGGCCCGGTCCTGCCTGGGGGGCAGCACCAGGCTGAGGACTGTCCTTCAACCTGTTTCTTCTGTTCCCTGGGCCTTAAGTGGGACTACCGCGCCCCGCACCCCCCACTGAATGAACAGAGGAGTGAGTCCAGAAGGAATGACCTTGGCCAAGGTCAAAGAAGAGCAGGGAAGTTTCCCTTTCCATCCCAGCCCTTAGGTCCCCTTTGCAGTTTTGGGCCCTTGGGGTTCCTTGAGTGTCATGTTGAAACCTCAGGCTCTTCTCTTAATTTCTGAGACCCAAATAGAGGTTCCAACTTATTTAAAAGCAGTGAAACTGCCACAGATAGTTGGCATTCCAGCCTTGCTGACTCCAAGCCGGTCTCCTGGAGTTACCCTGCTTTCTTCCTGACACCTTCTTCCTCCTCCAGCCCTTTCCTGCAAATAGTTGTCCGGGAGTGCAGTGGGGTGTGTCTGGGGTCTGAGTTCTAGGCCAGTGTCCGCCACTGACTCACTGTGGAACCTCCGCCCGCACTGCCTCTGCCTCTTTGGGTCTCAGTTTGTTTCCTCTGTAGAATGGAGCAGCAGGCTAGGTGATCCCTGTTTTGTCTTTGCGTCCTGCTCTGGTTTGCAGGTTCTGATGAGCCTGTCCTGCCGGGGGTGGGGGATGGGGGAGGAAGACTCCCAAATGGTGATTCTATTTTATAGCCACTGAATATAGAAATATGGTAAAATTAAATTTTGCTTCCATGAACGATTCTATTTCTCTATTTTCCTTTTCTGTACCTTTGGTTGATGTATGATGTAAACGCAGCAAAGGGTACCGATATTAACTGTACGGGTCCATGTATTTTTGCATACGTACACACGCATGCAATCCCCACTCGGATCGGCATATTTCCAGCCATAGCTCCAGCCTTCCAGAAGACTCCCTGATCACCCCTTCTAATCAATCACCCCAACTAGTCAATACACCCCAAAAGTAACCATATCACTGTCGATTAGTTTTGTCTGTCCTTCAACTTCATGTAAACAAAGTTGTGGCCTGTATTCTTTTGTGGTTGGCCTCACCCATGCGTGGACTCCCGTACATTACATACATGGGACTCGTGCATGTTGCTGTCCATGACCGTGAGTAGTTCATTCTGTTCTATAGCCAGATGCCATCAAGTGCCACACTCTACTGTGTGAGTCTATTGCAGTATTTTTATCCTTTCTTCTTTTGGTGGAGATTTGGGTTGTTTCCAGTTGGTGGCTGTTATGGAAGAGCACCTATGAGCATTTCTGTTCGTGCCTTTTGATGGACGCCTGTCCTGAGAGACTCGGGGGTGAACATGCAGGGTTATTCAGCAGGCACGCGTCTATTCTGCCGGACACCAACAGTTTCCCAAGGCAGCTGCCCAGTTTACACACCTGCCAGCAACGTGTGGGATCCGGCTGCTCCGTAGCTTTTCCCATACCTGGTGCTGTCTCTCTTGTTCCTTTTAGTAGTTCTGATGGGTTTATAATGCTATTGCAGTGTGTGTGTGTGTGTGTGTGTGTTTAAAAGTGGTGAAAACACAGAGTATAAAACTTACAATCTTAACCATTTTATAAGTGTAAAGTTCAGTAGTTACTGCTGCACATTTATGCAACCGGTTTCTGGAGGTTATTCAGCCTGCAAAACCGAAACTTCGTGGCCATCGGATAACAGCTCCCCATCCCTTCTTTCCCCAGCCCTTGACAGTCGGCACTTTGCTTTCCATTTCAGTGAATCTGACCACTTTAGTTATCTCATTTCAGTGGAATCATATAGTATTTGCCTTTTCGTGGCTGCCTTATTTCACTTAACATAATGCCCTCAAATCTGATCTGTACTGTAGCACGGGACCAGATTTTCTTTTCTTTTTCTTTCTTTTTCTTTTTTGGAGAGTATGTTTATGAAAGCTGGGGACAGTAAAACAAAAGAAGGTCTTGGAGCAGGAGAAGCAGCAGGAGAGCTGGGGCGGTGCTCTGCTTTGGCTCCCTGGAAATGTTGCAGGAAAGCAGTGAGCCGTGGCGTGAGCTACTGTCAGCTCACTGAGAAGTCGGAGGAAAAGGGGCCTTGGAGACAGGTTCCGGGGGAAAGCCCGGGATGGGCCGCCCCTGCCTGTTGCTTTCCTGGTTGCAAGTCTCATGGGAACCCGTAGAGTTTAAGACAGAAACGTAATGACGCACACCTGAGAGGGAAGAAAGGCGTGGGTGAGCTTCAGAGGCAGCCCCTGGATGTCCTTATTTTTTAAAGATTTTATTTATTTATTTTTAGAGAAAGAAGGGAGGGAGATAGAGAGAGAGAGAGAAACATCAATGTGCAGTTGATGGGGGTCATGGCCTGCAACCCAGGCATGTACCCTGACTGGGAATTGAACCTGCAACTTTGGTTCCTAGCCTGTGCTCAATCCACTGAGCTACGCCAGCCAGGGCTGATTTCCTTATTTTTTTTAAGACTGATAATATTCCATTGTGTGTATATACCATATTTTCTTTATTCATTTATTAATGGACATTTGGGTTGCTTCTGCCTCTGAGAATTATGAATAATGTTGCAATGAATATGGGCATGCAAATATCTCTTTGAGATTATACTTTCAATTCTTTTGCATATACACCCAGAAAGGGGATTGCTAGATTGTATGGTGTAAAATGACATATCACTGTGGGGTTTTTTAAGTTTTATTAAATTTGCTGGTGTGACATTGGTTCACAGGGTCATACAGGGTTTAGGTGTACACTTCTATGATACGTGATCTGTTTATTGCATTGATGCCTCCACCCAAAGTCAAATCATCTTCCTTCACCATATAATTGGCTCCTTTTCGTTGTGGTTTTAATATGCATTTCTTGGAAGATTAGTAAAGTTGAGCACCTTTTCCTATGTTCACTGGCCTTATGGATATCCTCCTCTGTGAAAGTCTTTCTTTCATTGAAGAATTCATTCAGCCCTGGCTGGTGTGGCTCAGTGGATTGAGTGCTGGCCTGCGAGCTAAACGGTCACCAGTTCCACTCTCAGTCAGGGCACATGCCCGCCTGGGTTGCCGTCCAGGTCCCTGGTTGGGGGCGTGTGAGAGGCAACTGAGGGCTACTGATGTATCTCTCCCACAGTGATGTTTCTCTCCCTGTCTGTCTCTCTCTAAAAATAAATAAATTAAATTAAATTAAAAGAATTTATTCATTCAGAAACCATTAACTACTAGGCATTGGGAAGTACAGTGGCAAGGAAGACTTAGGCGGTTTCTGCCATCAGAGAGTTCACCTTCTGGAGGGAAAGACAGAGAGGAAGCCAGAAGCCACTTTGGAAAGTGTCAGGAAACAGGCCTAGGGATCCTGGGGCAGTGTTCACCTTCGTGGGGAACAGGAGCTTTTAGAGGTCACCCACATTCCTTGCCTCATTTCTTCTGTTACTAGCGTTGTTGACTCTTGGTCCTTGAGTTCAGCAAAGAAAGAATTCAGAACCAAGAACTCCAGTGCAAGAGGAAGTTTATGTAGCATGCAATCAAAAGTACACTTGAAGAGATTTGGGTGGGCTGCTCGGAGAGCTTCCTTGGCCTTTGAGAAAGAAAGTCAGAGAGGCAGAAGAAGTGAGCCAGCTGGGCTGCATGAACTTAGGAGACAAGTTACAGAAGCAGAAGAAGGGCCCTTGGAGAGAAGTTCAGGGGGTTAGCCGCTGCTGGCCGCTGCTCCCCTAGTTGCGAGCCTTGATGTTTGACTTAGAGCTTAGGTGAAAGAAAGCAAATGTACATGCCAGAGGAAAGAAGGCGTGGGCGTGCCCTAGAGAGTACACACTGGCCCCTTTGCCTTGAGGGTTTTTATCTGTTTTCTAAAGGCAGGGATTGTAGGGGAGGTCTCAGGGGAGGATCTCCATAGACTGTTCATCAGCTTTCCAGGTGTGTCCTTTAATACGCTGATTTATCAAAATGAGCATATTGGGTCAGGGTCACGGCCTCTACTGATTGGTCAGCACTAGGGCAGGGGGTCATTGGTCACTGCATCTGTGCCTGATGTTGGCCATGGTGTCACTTCAGCTGGTTTTGCTGCTTTTCTGGGCCCAGAGCTGGAACACAACTGAGGCCTAGACGTCATCTCTAGTTTGACCAAAACTCTGTCTCTGTGGTCAGCGGCCCCAAGGCTTTGTTCCTAAGGTTAACTGATGCTGACCAGTACGGCATTGTCCGGAGGGCTTAAATGCTTAAGGGAGAAGGAGGCCGGTGAGACAGGGTGCTGGCTGAGGCCAGTTGGAATCATCTGTCTCAGTTTCCCCATTCCATTTGCCAAGGAATTTTCCTGGATTCTTATGATCCTGCCTCACTTCCTTCACCTTCAAAGCCATC